AAGTTTAAAATACCAGGGAACTGGATTCACTTAAAAATCCGCTGCCTAACTCCACATGGTTTTTCTGAACAAGAAGTCCCGGCCCTTTTTATTTTGGCGGGAGAGACCTCCTCAGAGAGGATGGTCCCAACCCAATCTCACAAATAGAGAGAAGCATTCATTCCCACATCCCTTCACTCCTCTGGCTAGGACCTCCAGACAGAGAGAATGCGTGTGGGGGTGGGGTGAGGGGTTGGGGTACGACCTGCTGCCTCCCCTCTGAGAGCCTGTGAGCATCCTGAAGCTCCCGAGTTATTTATGTTCACAGCCTGCTCTGATGACATATGTAAGTTGACAGCGAACATCCTATCAACTTGCTGGAGTGTATCTTGATTGTTAAAACACACTCTTAAAGGTGTACAATCATTTATCAAATTAAAATAGCCAAGCTTTGCTGGTTCCTTCTCTGTCTTCCTGGAAGAACCCCAAGCAGCCTCCTGCCTCCTCCAGCCTCCTGTATTAGCACTGAGCTCTGCTCCCCAGAGACCCTTCTCTGATGCCTGGGACCCTGGCCTCAGCACCCCCCACCCCCACCACACCCCCGCCCCAGCCCAGGGCAAGCCCACTAATCGCCAAGAAGTGACAAACGCCAGAAGCCCCACCAATTAAATTTAAACTCATGCAAAGCTCAGTGGCTAGTAAATTATTATTTTTATTAGCTTGAACCAAGTTCCCGTAAGAGAGAAAGTCAACTTGCTCCCATGAATGGCTCTTGTATAATTTATTTAACTCTGTGCTCTTTGCCAAAGCCTGGAATATTTTTAGCTCTTTCTGTTGTTGGATTTGGCTTTTTCATGTGTGTTTCTGAGGGGTATTTTTAGCCACATTCATGTTATCCTAACTGCCTCCTATGCGTTTTTTTGTCCTGTCTGTGCGGGCTGTTGAACCCTGTCTCACAGGGAACCGAGGGAGATTTCTAAGAATAACTGAGTAGTGTTTGGGGGTGCGGTGTTTTCCGGGGAGATGTACCATTTGCACTGTGTCACCCTTGCCCCGGCCACCGATTCGCCTTATTGCTCACGTGCCTTGGATATTCCACCGGAGGACTCTGACGTTTCCCTATAGGAATAATCAGACATGGTGGCTGCCTAGGCCCCACTGAGAAAAAACCCACATTCCAAAAACAGCTTTGGTGGAGCGGGCGCGGCTGCCGCAGCTGGCCCAGTCTATGCAGCCGCCAGATTCCCGGATCCCCGCGGCTCCGTTGGGTACAGCGGCAGCTTTGATGTCTAGCTCTGTCACTGACGGAGCAGGATGGGTAGAAGCTCGGAAAGTAACTCTTTTCACACCTACTTAATGTTGGTAACTGCTGCAGAGACACTCTATCGTGCAGTGGAGTTAATGAGGTATTTACGAAAATGTATTTTTTTTCTTCATAAAAAAAAAAAAAAACCCCGCATGATGAGCGGGATACCTCTGACGGGGTCTTTTTTTTTTTTTCACACAGGAAATTGTCTTTTTATTTATTTATTTATTTTAAATCTATGAGGCTAGGTGGAGTTTGGGTGGTTGGTTATTTTATTTTAGAGACTGGTCATCCAAAGCGCCTTTAACAGGAAATAGGTTGGCAGTCTCCCTCCAGAAAGGGCCTGACTGAATCCCCCCAAAGCTGTAGCCAAGACACATGGCTGCACAGGCCAAGCTAAATCACAGCCCAAAGCCAAAGTGGGTGGAGAAGAGTCCAAAAAGAGGATTCACACCGGGAAGTGAACCAGCCCCAGCCCTAGGGGGGAACTCTAGGATAGGACAGGAGCTGACCCAGCCGGAAGGGGGGAGGGGCATGCGAGCACACAGCTCCCGAGTTTCTCCCCGAGCCAGCTGCCTCCTGATTAAACCCGTTCCCTGGGAGAGAAGAGATTCCCCCAAGTAACTCTAGGCAGTAGCACGGGGGAGAAAACCTAGATTAGTTCATGTTGATTTTTTCCTTTTTTTGTGTGTTCCCCCATCCCTAGATTTCACAGCTTTGCCTCCGGACCATCTGTATTAAAGACAAAAAATCTAACACTGAACTAAAAATAATGTTCCAAACATTTTAATTGCACCTCTCAGTGACAAGGTTAAGGGAGCAGCTCTTTACCATAAACCTACAGCTCGGATAGAAAGCTACCGGCACTTTCAGTTCGGGGGTGGGGTGGGGTGGGGTGGGGGGTAACAATGGAAGACGCCCGGGAGCCCATCATCATCCCCCCCTCCCCCGCCCCCGCCCCTTAGGGTCCCGCAAGCTGACACCATCAACGTGCCAGGTGGGAAAGAAGCAGGGCAGGAAGTGGAGAGACCCTTAGCCTAGGCTGACCAGGCAGGTGGGGAGAGCGTACCACACAAGAAAGCTGTTCCAGGGAACTGGGGGCCGCAGCCTGGATGTCTGCATCCTACGCAGACTCAGGGAAGACTCTTCCCCCAGCAATTTTGCTCTCAGCTCAGCAGTTGGGGCAGGGAGGGGCAGGCCGGACTACTGCAGCCTTGGCCTGTGGGCCGAGGTTATCCACAGAGAGAGGGAGACTAGGAGAAGGTGGCCATTCGGAAATACTCACACAAAAATCCACACGGGAAATCTAAAGACAAATTCCTTAACTTCATTCCATCTTTTCTCTTTTCTAAATGAGGACCTACACAGACACAGACTAAAGTACCGGGATCTCGAGTGCAACTCCTGCTTTTAAAAATACATGTAGCGAGAGTCTAAAAATGAATGCGAAATCTTAACCATTGCAAAAGGCTTCCAGCCCCACACAGCTCGTCCGGGCTTCGAATGGCAACCCAGTCCGACATCTTCAAACACAATAGGTTCCTCTGGTGCCCAAGGGGATGGAAACTGGGCCTTGGGAAGCAGGAGACACATGGCCCTCCAGCACTGAAAGAGGGAGCCCTCGAGGGTCCCCAGTGTATAAGGAAGCAGGAAGAGTGTGGGGTCACAGACTAGAACCCTGGTACAGTTTCTCACAGCTCTCTGTGGCTTGTAGTCCAAGAACCACGTGGTCCAAGTTAGCATGAGCAAGACAAAGGTCCAGGCCACTTCACCACATTCCCACCTGACTGGGTATTACCTAGATCTGGAAAGAATCGGGGAAAGGCAGAAATGGCTGCTGACCGAGAGCTGGCTGGGCTAAGGGCCGGTAAGGGGTGGGGGGCAGGAGGCAGCAGTGACCTGAACTGATGGGGAGCTGGGCTTGGGCCTGGCTGCCCCCCTCTGGGGGGTACAGCCCTAGTCAGCCTGGGTACAACTGTGGAAACTTGCAGCACTGTGACCCACAAGGCTGGAGGGCACTGCACACTGGAGGACAAGGGCAGAGGTGTCCTCTCTATTCCTCTACGCTGCAGACTCAGCCGCGAAAACCTGCCACCGAAGCTGAGGCTGGTGGGGAAGCTGGACACTGACCCTGCTGCTGCCACGATTATGTCAAAGCCCTTCCTCGGCTCCCCAGTGGGCCAAAGATGAGTGGGTAGCATCTCAGTGCAGCAGCGGCAAGAATAGACAATAACCACAAGGATATTGGGAAAAGATATTTTAAATTCATCAATTGCTCAAGTCAAGTACTTTTCTTTTTCTTTCCAGTTATAAATCTAGACGGGGGGGGGGGAGAAACGGAGAGAAAGAAAAAAAGAAAGAAAGAAAGAAAGAAAGAAAGAAAGAAAGAAAGAAAGAAAAGCGATCCACGGAGAGGAAGGCAGAGCCCCGCTGAAGGTCCAGCTGGAAAGGCAAGCTGGCAGTGTGGGGCTGACCACTCTAGCCCAGGGCTGCTCTCTCAGACTTAACCTCGTGGGGTAAAAACTGGAGGCCCTTTAGTGATTAAGTAATTTCAAGGATTTTCTTTTAAAAAGAAAATGCATTTTTTTTTCTTTTTGACTGCCTTCCCTTTCAACATTTTCCCTTCTGGCCCTGTCGTTGCCATCCGTTTTAATCCACAAACTAATTGTAATCCCATTAAAGCAGATATAATTTTATTACTATTCACGGTTCATCAAGCTAATAATAATAACTATTACTGCCAAACTGAAAAATAAAAGCAGCAAATAATATTTCTGATGTTTAGAATAAACTGTAAACAAAAGCAAGCCGACCTGCGAGGGTGACCCAGCAGGTCCACGCGCAGCCCCTTAGGCTCCCCCAGCTCCGCCCACGCTGGTCAGTGATTTCCCCGCCAGCTGCGGCTTCGCTCCAGAGACTGGGTCAGCGCTACCAAGGACAGACCCTCCGGGAAGGGGACATGAGTCGGTCGCAACACGGAGGCGTGCCGGGAATGATCAGAACAACTTAGGGTCTCTGGTCTTGAAGCTAAAGCGCACGGACTCGCCTGCACCGAAATCCCGAGCGGGGCGCCGCTCTGAGTTCCCGCGGTGTGGGATGCGCGGTCCGCACTCGGACCACACTTAGTCCGGCATGAGCAGGATACCAGAGGCACTTGTTAAAGCGCATGCATCCCCTGCAAACCCATTCTCGCCCTGACACTTCAAGGCTTTATATAGAAACAGGATTTTCTCGTCTTACACTAGCAGTTCCCATTAGCGCTCCCCGGGCGCACACTGCTCCCTAATCCGCGGGCCGGACGCGCCCTGACCCCCTCCCCCAGCCACACAGTCGGTCTGTCCCTGCAGAAAGCGCCACGGTGCCTCAGATGCTGAACGTCTTAACGAGGTGAAAGCAAAACGCAGAAAAGAGGCTTCCGCAGAATTTACTTCTGCAGAAGGGTGGGGGAGGGTGGCTAGGAGTTGAAGGCTTGGTTTGATGCCTGCTCTCGGGCTTCCCTGCGTGACCCGGGATAGTCCAGGAAAGGCTGCTGGAAACGGCGCGAGCAAGCCCGTGAGCGCGGCCCGCTCGGCCCGCTCGGCGTTGCGCAGGGAAATGAAACCAAAGCTCCGAGAACTGCTCCGAGGAGCAGAGGGGCGGGCGCTCACTGCACTGGGCACAGTTGCCGGCTGCGGCAGGGCCTCCCGCACCGCACCCGCCCAGGCCGGACACTGACCTGTGTGCGAAGCCATCGGCAGCGGCGACGGGAAGTACTTTCCGGGCTGGAAATGCGCGGCCGGTTGCGCGGTAGGGCCGGCGGGGGCGAGGCGAGCGGCGGCGGCGGCGCTGCGGTGGCCCAGGCTCCCGCGCTCCGATAGCAAATGCGGCGGCGGCGGCGCGAAGTCTCGGCCATCCATTCCGGGCCCCGGCCCCGGCCCGCCGCCGCCGCCTCCAGCAAGCAGCGTGGCCGGGGCCTGGGAACGGCTCGGAGTGCAGGCGGCGCGCGGGCGGCGCGCAGGAGGCGGCGTCCGGGGTCACCGGAGGCACAGACAGCCGAGCCGGTCAGCACACCGGCGGACTGGGCTTCTCCGCGGGCGGCCGCGCTCTGAGCCGGCGACCGCCGTGCAGGTCCATGGTCTGCAGAGGCAAGCAGAAGAGACTCGGTGACTAGGGGGTTCTTGTCGCCCGGGGTACCCGCCCCTCCCGCTACCGGCCCCCTCCTCGCGCCCCAACCGGAGTGGGCATCCAGACCGGACAGCGAGGCTGGGAGCGCTCGGAGGACTCCCTACTGCACAGGCTTACGCGCCGGGTCATCGGAGCCGCCCTGCGCGCGGGTCTGAGAGCACACACGCACCGTCCGAGCCACGCTTGGCCTGCAAGAGCCAGAGGCGACCCAACCGCGCTACGCGCAGCTTCCCTTTCTGGTCCCTGAGAGTCCCTGCGGCGAAGGCGCCGTTGCGAAGAGGCTGCTGGCTCCACTGGGTGATAAAAACCCAAATCTGCGAAGCCATCACGCACACTCGCACGCGCGCGCACACACACTCACACACACGCACACCCTCTCCCCTCCCCCGCTGCCCAAAGGTGTCTCGGAGGAAAAAGCCCGGGGTCCACGCTTCGCCCCCCCGACCCCCGCCAGTCTTTCTGAGGTCCAGCTTTTACTACATTCCGCTTAACCGAATAACCATGCTAATTAAGCGAGTAATTTTATTGATTGTAACTCAAGAGTTCTTTTTTAAATAACCTTCCTTTTCTCCTCGCTCCCATCCCCCCCATGCGTCTTTCAGTCCATTCTTTTGAATGTCGTCCCCTACTCAGCCCCAGTGGGACCGCCCCCCCACCCCAGCATTGTGCCACAACCCCAGACTGGCGTCCGGGAGCTCCGGGCCCCCCTCGCCCGCCACCGGCATCACCTGGGCCGCTACGCCGCAGTGCCTGGCCTGCTGTCCCCGAGCCCGGAGCTTCCCAGTGAGGCTGGAACAATCACCCCGCCCCCCAATCAAATTCGCCCAGGATCTTCCTCTGCGGATTGGGGGTTTGGGGGGGGGAGGGGGCTCAGAGAGTCAGAAATTGTTTTCTCTCGGCCTCCCAAATCGGCCACAATGTTTCTCCATTCAGCGCCTGCCCCGGATCACCTAACCAAGGCTGGTCTCCGCGTGGCACCTAGGTCGACCCTGCAGGGAAGGAGCACAGACCAAGCACAGCTCAGTCTTCTCCTGCGTCTGGGTCCCAGCAGACCCGGGTCTTCGGGTCTTCCATCCCCATCTCGGGCAGGGTTGGCTTTAAAATGACCCTCCTCTCCCTTTTCTTCTACCCCTCCCATCGCGGAAGTCTGCTCCCGGGCGAAATCGGAGACAATTTCAAACTCTGAGAGGAGCAACCGAGCAAGCGAAATAAACTGTACACCACCATGCACGTGCGACCAAAGTCTCTCGGCCCTCCTCCATTTCCAATACTTCTCTCCTTATTTTCGAAACCCCCATTGTTTTAATACTTCGTCTCAGTTCCAATAGAACGGAGATATTCTCAACTGTGAACTTTGCAGACAGTCAAAACCTTTTTTTTTAAAGCCATCCCACCGTGACAACAAAGCGATTAAGATGTTTTCTATTTCGTAAATACCATTTAAAATTGCTATATTTTATGCTCTGGGTTCTACACTGTCTTATTTGCACACTATTTTGTGTCTGATTTAATCTATAACCGAAAACATAATGTATTAAGTGAATACATATTTACTCAGCTGATAAGCTTTTTTAATATTTATTCGGAGAATTTTGCATTGTAAATAAACGAAACTACACAAAGACTTCTCTTTGTGCTCAAACTGCATACAAAGGGGTTTGGGGGCTCTCTTCCCTCTGGGGAGCTTCACTCTCCCCGGGTCCAACAAATAACTCGCTTCTCCACCGCGCGGGCCTACTCGGCGATACCCAAGGCGCGGAAGGCTCAAGCAAGGCCGAGGCGCTGTTGGCGCCGGGGTCAGGGGAGGGGCTGCCCGGGGATAGACAGGGACTTGCGAGCCCCTACCCTGGCCGGCGCCTCTCGAACCCCGGAGGGCGCCGAGCAGGACAAAGGGAAAGGAGGAAGGGGAGGGAGGTCAGGAACCTGCCGCTTCAAAGGCGCCGAGGGCCGGAGTGGGGTCGGAGGCTGCGCGCGCGGTACAAGGCTCCGCGACGGCCTCCGGGGAGTCGTGTGCGCTGGGCTTTTGTTCTGGGCCCCCACCCCCAGTAAGAGATTTCAAAGTAGGAGCGAAAGTGGGGGCTGCCCGCGATTCTCGGGACGCGGACTCTGAGATCACGCAGCAGCTTTACTCTCCACCCCCTGCGGGCCGATCGCCGGCTCGTTCGTGCCTTTCTCACAAGCCTGCTGGACTTTCTAAGCAAACAAGGGGTGGCTTATGTCCCCGGTACCCGCCGTTGTGCTTCTGACCGCACTAGAAGGGACTTTTCTTTGTGTTCTGTCCTGCCCGAGAGCTACCGCGCCGCCCTGGTCTGCTCGCGCCCTGGGCCTGGAAAAGCCGGCTCCTTACGGAGCGAGGAAGGGCAGAGCTACCGTCCGAGAGCCGCGGCCGGAAGCGGAGGTGCAGCAGTTCGCCGAGTCCCAAGGCTCCGAGGCCTCCCCGAGCCCATCCCCGGGACAGGACACCGCAATGGACCCCGGGCAGGGTTGGACCAGAGCAAACAGTGGCAGCGTGCAGAGATCCGCGCGCGGCCGCAGAGTCGCCGACAGGAACACATCTAAAGAACTCGAACCCCAGAAATCCTCCCCGGGCGGCTGGGCGTGACCCCCCAGAACTGCGGTCCCTCCCGAGGCTTGGCCAGCACTCGTACCCCCAGCTCCTCAAGGTTTGCTTTGTTTTCAAATTTCGCATCTAAACGCCGGGTCTGAGACGCCTTTGTCCTCCGGTGGAGGCCAAGCCCTGGGGTCCGTGGGCTCCCTCCTGCCGAGTTTCCCGCGCGGGTGGGCGCAATGGGGCCTGCAAGGCCAGGCCGCAGCCAGGAGCGCGCCGGGAGCGAATGGTTCCAGCGTCGCTGCACAACCCGCTCCCTGCGAAACAGCCCCCCCCCCCAGCCCAGATAGGAACGGGGACTGGGTGGTGCAAGACCCCCCGCTCTAAGGGATGGACCGGTCCCCGGACCACGCCACGCGGGTCGTGGCCGGAGCCTGCGTGCTGCCCAGAACGCACCGCATGAAGACGCCCCACTGTTCAGCCCCCCTCCTCCACCCCAACTCCTCCAGAGGGGGGAAAAAAGGAAATGTTCTGAAAAGAATTAAGTCGGTGGGGAGCGGAACCTGAAAACCTGCCAGTACCCCTCTAATCTCCTGTCCCCTCACGGAGGCCCGGAAAGCAACGGCCGTGGCCACGGAGAGCCGACCCTTCCCTGCGCCACGGAACGACCGGGCGGAGCCCATTCAAGATTGCTGGGGGAGGGGAGTAATATGGGGGAGCAAATAATTGGGGTTCGCCCCTGGTTCCTCCAGAGCTGGGCTCTCACTGACTGCCCATTCGGGGCTACCCGCGAGGCTCTTGCTGAACGAAGCTTGGCGGTCTCTGTCCTGTCTCGATAATTTATTTTTAATGCAGGGTGTCGATCGAGACAACAAGCGCTCAGAGCAAAGCAAGGACGCATTACGGGGGGAATTTTAAACCGATCGATAAAATTTTTCAGAGAAAAAAAAATATCGTACTCATATATATATAGTCCATCTTTAAAAAAAAAAAGCCTTTCAACATCATAACGGATTTTAAAAGGGAAGCTCTATTATTTAACATCACAATCCTGAATTTCTTTTGCTTAAAAATGTACACCCCCAAAAACCAAAATAAAATAATAAAATAATAAAAAAATACAAAAAAAAATTAAAAATGAAAGCAATTTGAGTTACTTACTGGAGGCTGTTTCCTGGATACAATTGAACGCAATACAATTAAATCAGTAAATGTGACTTTGGTTTGTATTCCTATTGGTATTTTCAATGTGCTGACTGTTGCACTGTGAATGCACGGCTTCCACAACAACGACTCTAGCGAGCCCATCCAGAGCGGCTCTCAAACCTGCAGCCCGGCGCGGCGAGCCACGGGCCCTGCATACTAATAAGCTCGTGCCACTCAGCCCGTAGCAGCCCGCGCGCTGATTGGCCGCTCGGCCCTCCACGGCCCTGAGCTCGTGCCACTCATTCGGCGTAAACAGGCCTCCCAATAGGCTGGCGCCGGGCCAGGGAGCTGCCAATCAGGGAGCAGCAGGGCTACTACCAAGCCTGATGGCGCCTAATTCAAGCCCAGCGACTGCGCAGCTCCTCTGCGCAGATCATTGCTGCTGAATGGGAATGTGGTGGCGCAGGGCGGGAGAGGAGCACCGGGGAGTGAGAGCGGAGCGCGTGTCGGTGTCCAGTGGAGATTTGAGGTTTTCCTTTTCCATAATTTGTCAGGTGTAACGTTTGGGGTTTTTTTTTGTTTATTTGTTTGTTTGTTTTGCACAGAATAAAAAGAAAGAACAGCCTCACGCTGTAAACCAGATGCCCCGTCCATACCAAGGGTCTGTCTGGCAGGTGGCGGAACCTGCTACACGTAGGCCCAACTTCCAAGCGCAGATTCCGAATTGCCCTGCTGTACCTCCACTCCCAGACGCCCCCCCGCCCCAAACTAGGAATACACTTCGGCCTTAGGCATGTCCACAAGATTCCATAAATACCCTTCCTCCCCCTGCCCGAGAGGCAGATGTACCTTTCTTCGCCAGCCATCTATCTATCTGTACGCTCTCAATTATCTCCCTCCGCCATGCTTTGCAGCGCAGCAACAATCGGAATGAAAATCGAGGTTCTGTTGCCAGGATAAGGATTTACTTTTTCTTTCAGCCCCTAGGTTTTTAAAAATATCTTCACTTGGTAATTTTAGGGGTGGTTGTCATGGTGTGAAAACCATGCTTAGCATTTCTCAGTGCCTGTCCCTGCATATTCGCAAAATTTCTCTCTACAATGGAAAACAGCCTCTAAACAATTCTCTTTATCATAATCAGAATCAAACCGCTTTTTAAAATATTCTGCAAGCAAATATTTCGGTTAGAATTTGGTTGCCTACCCAAATGTTATTTATTCTCAAGAAGTAGAGGTGATGTCTTAGTGGCGATGAATACATAATGTCTGCTTCTCTTTTTCTGTGTGTTGGGGGGGGAATATTTAAGTAGATGCCAAACGACACAGCTATATTCCTTTGGATTTTTCCAGTCTCTTTCCTGCGTGGACACAAAGGAGTTAAACCTGAGATCTGTGGTCTCCTCTCTTTCCCTGCCTACCTCGCTTCTGCGAAACGGTCGTGATTGGTTGGCACTCTGCCAGCGGGCTGTCCATCACTAAGTGTAAACAAGGCGCTGATTGGCTGTTATCCAGTCCGCACCGGGCCTCCTGAAAAAAGCAATTACTGGCTCCGCGGTTTCAAGGCTGCCCAAGGCCGCTTGATGAAAGGAGATAAACCGGGAACGGTTTCCAGGATCCCCGCGGGCCGACCCAGGCAGCTCCCGAGCCGAGGTGCGGCGGAGAGCCCGGGGATCAAAGGCATCTGAAGAGAAAGGGGAAGCGGGCGCACTGCCGGGCCGGCCTGGCCCCCTGCGGGCCGCGCTGACCTGGGAGGATGGGGGCGGCGGGCGGGGACTACGGGATTTCCCCCTCGCTAGGGACCGGGCTTCGGCCGGCGCCTGCTCCAGGTAAGCCCGGGTCTCCGCAGGCCGCTGGACAGGGCACACGAGCCTGACTGCGGGGTGGAGACCCCCGCGGCCAGCCCGCGATTGCGCCCTCGCCAGCGCGGTGGCCGCTGCGCGCCGGGGCGCACGAGCTGCAGGGAGGCGCAGCTCCTGGAGATCGGATCAGTGCGCCATTATCCAGTACACGATTGAATCAGGCCGTCCTGTGCGGGATGGGTGCGGACTCCTGCTCCTGGCGGCGCGGCGGTGACCCGACGGCGCTTGGCCTGAGGTGAGCTCCGTTGTTCCGGTCCCTCCGGCGGCGGGCAGCCGTTTCCCGCTTCGCACGCACGGATAGGAGCTTCCCGGCTCGGGAGAAACCGCTGCTGGCAACGGGAGGGCTCCGGACGCGAGCGCCCCTGTTCTCGGTTGATGTAAGCATCCCTTGCAAACCGCAGATTTTCTGAGTGCTTGGAATTCGAGTTCCTGATTATTTTCTTTCACTGATTTTGTTTATCGATCCAGGAATCGTTATATCTAACTCCCCGTTTAAAGTATTCTTCCTCTTCCCATTCCTCCCCTCAAAAAAAAAAAAGGAAGAAAAAGAAAAGTAAGAAAGGAAAAGAATTGGATCCTACAGGGACAACAGCGTGGCGATCCTCCGAGCTGCGGCAACCTCGAGGGGACCCGGAAGGCCGGTGTGGGGGAGGGGCGCGCCTAGACAGCTCCGCACCCACCCTTCCATTTTGTGTAACCCGGGTCCCCTAGGCCGGGCCGGAAAGATCCCAGAGCTTGGGATCTAGCCCTTCTGGGTGGGTGGAGACAGTCAGAAGGGAGCACCGGTAATCCATCCGCACTCAGGCCTGCTGCTAGACACGTGAGCGCGAGGTTTCTCTTCCTCCTCAAGCCGGTTTAGAACCTTGGGGATCGGCACCTCCGGATCCCTAAAAGTTGGACATGAGGATTTGTCTCCAACCCCAGCCATGTGCTGTGTCCACACACACCCCTAACTCCGTTCTGTGTCGTCTCACATCCCCAAGAGCCTCCCTCCCCCCGGGTGTGAAAGGCCTCGGCTCCTTGCTGTCTCACTCCCACCTCTGCGTCCTCTGTAACCTCAGCATTCACTTAAAGTCTAGTGGCCTTTTTCCTCCTTCGCTCAATACTGTTTCAAAATAGTTGTTACAGCAAATAGCTGCCGACGCGCCTCTGGATGCCGCCAGAGGCTGGCAGCTGCCCAGAGCGGGCGCACAGCCCCCGGCAGTTCCACAAGACCAAAATAAGCTCCCGTATTCCTCTCACAGGGCTCGGCCTCCCGGGCGGGCCCGGGCATGTCTGGCTGGGCTCGCTATCTGCTCGGAGCAAATCATCCTGGTTTCCTCCTTGACATCCTGCTATCCAAAACTAACAAATGTTTTTCATTTTAGAAGAACATGGCGTGAGGATCGAGATCCTTCTAGAGCAGTGGTTCTCACCCTTCGGAGTGCCGCGAACCTTAAATACAGTTCCTCATGTTGTAGTGACCCTCAACCATAAAATTATTTTCGTCGCTATTTCATAACAACAGTTTTGCTGCTGTTATGAATCGTAATGTAAATATTTCTTGGAGATGCGGGTTTGCCAAAGGGGTCATGACCCTTAGGTGGGGAAATGCTGGATCTAGAGGGAAAGGAACAGGGTGGGGTTAGAAAGAGAGGAGACAGGACTATAAGCCATAGGTCAGCTTTTGCACTGTCTGCTGTCACCTGAAGTTCTAAAAAATTATACGTTATTAATTGTTGGCAGCCACAGATGCCCAATCACTAGCCCAGGGCACAATGTCCTTTGGATGCACCGGCCACCTCCACAGCCTGGCGGATACTCTTTGTAGCTTCCTCTAGGCTGGGGATGCCCTACATAGGCAGCTGTGCTGGTTATATATCAGACTTCATCAAGCAATAGCGTGTGTGTCCCTGAACACTTGGCCAGTTTTGAACATGTGCTCTGTCTACATGGGCATTCTGTGGGCTCACACATATCCATGTGTATGTATACCACAAAATGTGAGCCTCGCGTCACGCCGAACACCTGAGTTAGATCCCGGGCTCTCCTGGTACTCCCGAGGTAAGAGGAGAGAACTGACTCTTGCAGCAGGCGGGCCAGGCAGTGCAGCATGCAGGCACACATAAAAATAAATAAATGTAATTTAAAAAGACGGTTTGAATCTCACAACACACTGACACACATCACACATGTACAAGCACTCTCAATTACAACCGACTGACTGTTAGCGAAGCAGCCCATTACCCACAAACCCTGGTACCTCCTCCAGCCTTCCCCCACTGCCCTTACAAGGCTGGAGACTGGAAGCAGGCTTAGACCTCCCAACTCCCAAATGACAGAGAGCCTACTGTGTGAACTCATTGAATAAATAATCACTTTTTAATACAAGGGGGTGGGGGATGTATCTCGGGTTACATAAAATTGTAAATGTCTGCCTGGGCCAGAGAACAGCCGCAACTGCTCTGCGGGGTAATTGTGTGTTGGGTGTCTCTCCATTGTTCCCTGGGCCATTAGTCAGAGGGCAAATTAGAAACAATTTCTTGACGACAAAAAAATTGACTCTTAATTCTTCCCACCAGAAGTGAGAGGGACAAGTCCAGAGGCCAGGCCCAAGGCTGGAGCCGGAGAGATGCAGCTCTGGGTCTGGTGGGACAAGGGACCCTGAGAGAGAGGGTTTGTACGTGGGCAGTACAATACTTGGGGAAGATGTGGGACAGGAGGGCCTGCGTAGGGGTTGATATTCCTCCCTCAGAGAGATGGTGTAGCCGAATTGCAACCTCGGTCTAGAATCAGGATTTGAAGGGATAGTTGAGGTGTATATAACCCCCAAGTATAAATATATTGTATGTGTATATATGTATATTTTTTCCTCCTCAAAGGGGTACAATTCAAAAGCTGCCTCATAGTACTGGTTGGAAGAGCAGGTCTGAGATCCCCATTCAGTCCTAGAGGCTTCTCAACTCTGCCAGGGTCTCCCTAGCAGCACTGAGGCCTGGGAAGGAATTCTGTGAAGAAGGGTCTGAGTGTGGCCAAGTTATCTCTTAATTCTGTCCCTATGTGTTCACCAAAGGTATCGGCTTGGTGCTCTGTGCCTGGAAATGAGAGTAGGGGTGCCCATCTCAAGGTAAATGGGCTTCTCCCCCAAAGAACAGAACTTTCAAACAGAGCCCATCTGTTTAGCTGGGCATAGAGGCAAGGGATCGAGAGGTGTTCCACCGATCTGTGGGCTCCTGCCCCCTCCTAACTGGAGTCTGGGCTGAGGCCCAGGTAAAGGGCAGAACTCAGAAGCAGGGTCCTGGTTTGCTAGGAGTCCTCTCTTCTCCGTACACCTCTGGAGGCCTGGCTGTGCCCCTAGCCAACATCCTCCCTAAGGCATTTCCCTGACACAGCTCCAAACCAAGCCTGGAGCTTTGCTAAATTGAAGCTGGCTCAAGCCGGAGGGACCCCTGTGGGAGGCACAGGTTTTCCCTTCAAGGCCGTAAGACAGATCTTCAGACCTGCTTCTAAGTTTTAAAAAGCAAGGAGAGAAGCCCCAGACCACTTTGAAGTCGGATAAACAGCTTCCCCAGCCGCCGAGCTGCTTCCTCCCAGGGAGGTTTAAATTCTGTTGTTGCTGGTTTCCTCCAACCAGGTCAGGAGGCTGCCCAGCCCCCTCCCGGCGCAGGAAAGGTGCTTGTTAAACACAGTCGTAATTTGTGGCTAAATATAACCCAGTGTGTTCACACGGAAAGCATAATTCAGAGGGCTCGTTGTATGAGGTTATCAGCGAGGAGACCCATCTGGGGTAAATTAAAGTAATTTTCATAAAGGGCAGAAGCATCTATTGCCTGGCTTCTCCTGGCTCTTTTACTAGTGATAGTGTGGTATTAGCACTAAAGGAGATCAGGGAAGGTGGAAGATACCCCATACCCCACAGCTGAAGAGGCAGCTTCCTGGGCCTGAACTTCATCCAGCAACCCAGGTCTCTCTCTTCATCTTAGGCTAGTTGTGGCTTCTGTTAAGCCTGGGAAGGTTCTGGAGGAAGGGTTGGCTTTGGAAGCACTGGAGGGTAGCTTTGGGGGTCTGCCTAAATAAGGAGCAATTTGTTTTCCGGTTAGGCTGATCCAGATAGCCTTCAGTCTTGGCAGGGCGGAAGTCACCTCTATTTGCCCACCCCCCACTACCCATGACTGTAGTAGCCCAGGAGGGAAAGCCTGGTCCACAAAGAGACTCAAGGATAGGTCAGGGCAGCTGAGTGAGAAGCGACACTGCTTAGGAACAAGTACCAGGTCAGTCTGTGTGTGTGTGTGTGTGTTCCTTCCAGGTATATCCCCAAAATAGAGGTGGCTTCACACCCACCGGAGCACCTGCTTCCACTGCTGGCTGTGGAAGGAAGGACAGCGGCTGTCCTCAGCTGTGCAAATGTGTTCACACAGGTCATACTCCAAGGGATATCTGGACTGAGTCTCTGGAGCCAGATTTCTGCTGCATGGTCTGACAGTGGCAGGTAAACCCGAGGATGCTCCAGCCTCTTCTAGTCCTTAGGAAAGATGCAGGCTGGGTGTGAGGGATTCCTTTACTAGCTTTTCTGACCTCCAGGTCCAGGATTTGCAGGGTCCATAGCCACTGTTTCTTCCAGGCCCCCATCCTGAGAAAAGCCAGCTTTGGCCAGACTTGCCCACCACCATGTCTGCCCCACAACGGGTTCCTAGTAAGAAAAACCCACAACCACAGGACACACCGGTCTTGTTCTGGAGCTCTGCCTTCTACACCCAGTAGAAAGACTCCTTCCTGGGAAGAAACCAGTAAGGCGAGACAAACGCTTTACACTTTCTCCCTGATTGCTGATTTCTGGGGAGAATTGAGCCCTTAGCCTGGTTACCTGTAATGTTTATAAACCAAATAAAATGCCTCTCAAAGTTCCCGCTGAATGGCGAGGCATATGGCAAAGCCCTGTCTCCTCAAGCCTGGAGGCAGCTGGGTCTCCTGAGTGCTGGCTGGAGTGTGTCATATCCACTGCCTCTTCTGTTAGCAGGACAGTTGATCCATTAAATTAAAAATCAGTCGATAGATCCATTTTTTTTCCTGACCTCTACGAATGAATACATATTCCACTCTAGTTCTCTCCGGCATCAATTCCAGCTGAGGTGCTAACTCCCCAACCAAGGGAGGGAGGTTTCCACAAGTGGTTCCAAAAGGAAACTCCCAGGGGATGATCTCTTCAGCCGCAGCCAGGATGGCCAGCAATGAACCCCAATACCCCCACTCACTTCCTTGCGTACTCCCACTTGAGCAGGCACTGAAATGCGGTTGCCCTAACCTGCATATTCCTGAGTCAGACCCCGTGTGCACTGGGAATCCAACATAAAGCCACTGGCTGCTTCCCTTCCTGCTAGAAGTGCAGACACAATTGGGGGACGGGGTAGTTGTCTTCCCAACAGGTTTTTAAGTAGCAGGATTTTAAGATCCAAACAAGAAAAGCTTCCTGAGGTGGGCGGTTAAAAAAAAAAAATCAAAGCCTCTACATCGAAGCCAGAAACAAAAGCTCTTTGGAAGTGCCACGACCAGGAGCGCATCTCAGATCTTGCGGAGCTAGCCGCCCGCCCGGGACCCGCATCCGGAGAAGGAGCAGGCGGGCGCGGGTATCCCCACTTACTCGCCGTCATCCCTGTCCCGGAGAGGAGGAAAGCGGCCGGAGGCACCATAACCACAAATTTATGGCCTGGGTGACGTGCTTCCCTCTCCCACAATGAGGCCTGGTGACATAAAACAGAAAATTGATGAGAGGGGAGAGAAATCTAATCTCTTTCTCTTCCACGCCGGCTCTTCGCGCTTTCGTGGAGGGGGTTGGGGCGGGAGGAAGACCGTGGTTGCCTGGGGTTTAAAGCTCTGGGCCAGAGGCTTCTTTCCACCTGGTTTCTCAATAGGGGTAGGCTCAATGATTGTAACACTTAGCGGCCTGTCTTCTCGCAGCCGCATTTCTGGTGGGATTTCGAAGCCAGGCGCCCGAGTGCCGGAGCAGAGGTTCCAGAACCAAATAATATCTCCGGTCCTCTCCCAAGAACACCCCATCCAGAGGAGAGCACCCCGTCTCCACCGTGGCCACGAGCGCCCACACCCCGCCACTGACTCCTGCATGGCTCCCGAGGCGCAAGGATCGCCTCTTAGCACAAAACTGTCCTTAAAGGAGCCGCCTTTCTTCCAGCCTTTGTCAGTGTCTAGAAAGAGGTCACTCCAAGAGGACGCCAGGACAATGCCCTAGGGATCTGGAGGGGAAACCTAGGCCCAGCTGCCTTGGGCCACACATTACTTAGATGCTTCAGGCTAGGTGTTACCACCTGGGTTGTGTTGGCACAGCTGGGCAAGGTCTGAGCTTTCAGTGAGAGCGCCCCTGGAGTCCAGGGGATGAGGCTTGAGCCAACTCATGCCTTCCTCCCCTCCTTGACTTATGAGAGTCGTGAGTGTCAGGTTCAGACTCCATAAACAACCTCTAGACTTGTCAGGACCCACCCACCAAGAGGATTAGACCTATTTCACAGTCACCAGATAAGTTGGCCTCACCCAGGACCTGGATATATAGGCCCTGGGTTCTTCCACAAAACAGAACAAGGATTAGCTGGTCTTTGGGTCCTGACATTAATGGAGTTCCACTGTTTACCTTGAGAGCCAGGGCCAGAAATGTGGGGGCCTTGAGACCAGAATTAGGTGTTTTGGACCACCACACCCAAGGAAGAATGTGCCAAAAGTTCATTCTCCTGGGTTAGCTCCTCTGAAGGCTGCGCTCAAGTCACTGGGTTAAAGCCCAGCAGAGCAGCTCTCCCTGTCTGAATCTGGAGGCATAGCTAATGTACAGTGGGAATCTGGAAGCCAGATTCTAAAGGGTCAGGTTGGCCTGAAAACAACAAGGTTACATTTAACAGGCTGGAAAGGAACCTCGGCTCTTAGGTTCAGAAATCGGTTGTAAAAATGCAGGCAGCTCCCGCTGTGGACAGGAGGAGCCTACCGCAGCTGCTGCGCTGTTCATGCAGGACACACTCACGCACACCTATTCTCACACACACACACACACACATGCCTATTACCAGCCAGCTCCCTTGTGAATTTCCCCGAGTGCCTGCAGCTGAGCCTGGCCCCAAGGGTGGGGGCTCCCAGGATGTCTGGCCCAGAGCTTCTGATGTCAGGCCCACTGGGGGAGGGGACACAGCTGGGGACAGTAGAGAATGGGGTCCTTGTGCCACTGTCATCAGGCCCAGAGCTTCGATGAACACAGCTTTGTCCGAACCCACACCCCGTGGTGACCACGGGACCACAGGATCAGTGGGCCTAAGAACAAGAACTGCTGGCTTTTTGGCTTTTTGGCTTTGGTTTACTCTTAAACAGATATTGGTTGTCCAGTCTCCCCAGCCATGTGCCTGGGGCAGGCAGAAGAGATGAAAATGCAGCTTGAAGTCCAAGGTCTGAAACAATGTTGCTAAAGTCAGGTCTCCTGTTAAAGTGACTGCAGCCAGTGGTGAAGGTAAAAAGTACCGAATGAAGGATCTGCCTAAGGCAAGCCGGAGCTATTCGGCAACAGAAACCTTGTCTGGTCTGGGTAGAGTGTGGAGAGCCATCCTCCTGAGAATTCTTGGAGATCTAAAGAAAGGGACCCCATTCCTGGCATTGAGCAGACAGGCCAAGCTTCAGTCTTGATAAAGGAAGGACCCATATACAGAGGGCATGGTGGGTTGTGGGTCAGTTCTAGAGGACTTCCTGGAGGAAGGGTGTGGGGGAGGCTTACAGAGGCATGATGAAAAATGGCAGTTGTGGTCCTGGTTTAGGAAGTGCAGTTCTCCCTCCATTGTTAGTGAAGGATTAGAGTCCTGTTGACACCAAGACCCTGGGAACTCAGACTGTAATGAATGGTCTTCCTGAATCAACAGTCTGAGGACCCTAGGAACGATACCATCTAACCATCCTATATGGAAGTGTGGGTGAATTTTATTTATAATCTTTTTTTATATTTCTCAAGTTTCTCTTGAAATGTATTTATTTTATAATCAGAAGCAACCAGTCAACACTACTCCAGAAAATGTGTGGGACTGGAAGTCAATGGCTTGCTAAGGATAGGTCCAGTGGCTTAGCCCTACTGGGGAACCCTATGTGGTCCCTGTTCATTGTCCAGCCTCATTTTTGCCCCAAAGGCCCCTCGAGTCCCTAAATTTGCTCCCAGCACAGGCTTACAGGGACGTTGCAAACCAACACTTTTCCTGTGGCTAGCGACAGTTGTTTTCTGAGCACACATAGAGAGGTACCTCAGCAAGGTCCCTGACCATGAGAATGACTCCTGGGGAAGACAAACCAGTAACGCATGTTGAAACCAAAAAGGTACCATGAACCCGCTATATTGGAGACTTTTGGTTCCTGTTTTTACAGGAGAAGATAAGTCCTGCCCTGATGATTCAGGCATTTCCCTCCTATCAGCTAATTCACATTATCAGTTAACCTCAGGTTCAAAGTTCAAAGGTTGGGGTGGGAAACTGGAAGAGCCAGCGTCTCTTGTATTGAAGCAGGTGGCCTATCCCCACAAGGGTGGGGTGGCAGCAAGACCCATGACCTTGACCCTCCTCAGACAACCCCCACCCCCAAGGCCAGAACAGACATTCACAGACTTACTGGGCCACTTTAGTTCCAGAGGCAGGAGTCCTACAGCGGATACTCCCCTCTCCCCTCCCACATGGCACTCTCTTCCTATCTCACAAGCTCCTCCTTGATCTGACTGTCCTGGATGAGGTCCTTTACTGTCACATAGAGTGACTATGCTGTGACTTGTGTTAGCACACAGTAGGCCCAGGTCTGCAAGGAGTTGTCTGGGAGAATCGTCTCTCACCTTATCCTCTCTACCCAGGTCATCCACTGGGGTTAACGGAACACGGTAGATGGGCAGCCTTCACTAACATTGGGAAACCCTACTGCCTGGCCAGATGCTCTTTCTTTACACTTTTGTTCTGTTGGTAAGCACAACCATCCAGCCCCTCAGAGTGGCATGTGCCGTGCCTTTAATCTCAGCACTCGGGAGGCAGGCAGATCTCTGTGAGTTCAAAGCTAGGCTGGTCTATATAGCAAGTACCAGGACAGCCAGGGCTACACAGAAATACCCTGTCTCAAAAAAAAAAAAAAATCCTGTTTCCTTCTGGGACAAGCCCCACCCACCCACCCCCCATGGCCAGGCCCTTGCCTTCTGTCCTGCTTCCCAATTTCTGTCCAGACTTGTCCCTCTGACTGCCAGTGACTTGGCTACAGCTCTTAGACTCACCTCTTAGTTATGACCCTATAGCCACAGGCAGCACTAGAAACACTGCTAATGTCTGCACTTCCTTTTAGCTGGGATCATGGATTTGCATATCAGGGACTCCTGCTCAGCAACAAGACAAAGGTGGTGATTATTATTATTGGTGTTGAGACAGAGTCTCACACTACAACTCAGACCAGCCTTGAATCTAAGCAACTCTGTCCCTGCTAAATGTCTAGGAAGCTCATCCAGTGCTAGGTATATACATTTATGGCCGTTGGTTAGAATCGGCTGGCCTTCTCAAGTTGGAAGGGTTTAAGGGGAGCCCCTGGGGGTTGGGGCAAGAACTGATGCACAGATTGTAAGTGGGGCGTGGGAGGGTTGTCCACGTGTTGAAATCACAGGCATGTGCTTTGGAGGTCCCACTGTAGCGAATTAAATGATGCCCCTACCCCACTTAAAAAAAAAAAAAGGAGGAAAGTTAACACCCGCTGGAGCTGTACCTGACTCTAACTGCAAAAGGGTCTTTCCATATATCGAGAGAAATAAGGATCCAGAGATGAAGTCACTGTGTGTCTGGGAAGATGTAAGGGGGAAACAGGGAGATTAGAAGCCTTGAAGATCCTCTGTGGGTGTTGGGAGAGATATAGAGGCA